ACTCTCGTGCCACCAGCAGGCTTGGGGATCATCGCACATATCGTGACCAACAGTGCTGTGGGCCAAGTCTGCTGGCATTCGACTTCATTCAGAATATGCGTGAGATCCTCGGGCCCCGCAAATGGCACACGCTGGAGGTCTGTCGGGCCCAAAGTGTCTACTCCTCTCGCTTTTTTTTGTCGGGGCCCGACGCCTCGAGATGGTCTCCAGCTGGTCGGGTCGTAGGGGATCCAGAGGCTCTTGGCGGGCACAGCTTGAGACCCTCTCGAGGGCTCTGGGGATGCCAGGAACCTGGTCAACTGGACCCGTCCAGAAACGTTTCCATTCCTCCTGTCTGACTGAAAGTCATAATGTAGGATCAGCTGTGGTGTCGCCATGGTGGGTGATCCCACGTGGGAGTGGTTCAGGTGGTGATGCTTTGACATGCCTGTGTACTGCTCCTGGCCTCTTGGACCACACGCGCTTGGCCCAATTCATGAACGCCTGCCTCGAACGAACCATAGACCGACCCTGCGCTCGGTCCGCGTAGGTAAGCGTGAGCTCGCGGTACTCAATAAGTGCTGGTAATGGCGTTGTGGATAAGCCCTGGGATGTGCACTTCCAATGCTCAATGTCGGTGCGCAACGTCTTCTTGCCGAAGAATTCGGCGTGCTGATCAGGTGTGATGTCCGCCACGTGCTTACCCAAGAGCGTGATGCACTGGGAAAGCTGATTCGTATCCTTGCCCGATTTGGTGAGTGCCAGGATCCTGGTGACTAGCGTGGAGATAACCCCCCACCACTCTGCCGTGGGGTCCTTCATGTGAGTTCTGCCTGGGGCTGGTCGCATGCGCTGCCAGCCGATGTCGTAACCCGCTGCCCTACCAGCTACGTAGTCGTGCTCTTGGAGGTCGTCGAAAGCGTCTCGCAGGTGCTCAGGTAGCTCCTGTCTTCGTGTTTCGACGTTGTCTCTAGCTCGTCTGCTGCGTTTGCTGTTGGGATCCGCTGCCTCGGTTGGGCGTGCCGTACGTGGTAATGGTGGTGGTAGCTGCAACGCCCTATGCCACCATACCCTTTTACCATCTAAAATGTCCACTGCCACCGCACAGCGGGTCTTCCAGGGCACCGCCAGGATGGGTCGAAGGGCGATGCGAGCATGGAGACTCTTGGAAATGATGCCATAATCATACCTTGGTCCAGCACCTCTGTCACAGGTGGCTTGGGTGGGTGGCTGAATGAGGAGCCCATTGAACTGAGCGACCCATCCTGAGTCTAGTAGTGCACTCGGTTTCATATTCCAATCTGCCATAATAATCCATGGGTCTGCCGGAGCCTTGATGAAGGCTGCCAACGCCGTGAGAACTTCAATGTCGCCCATCCGCCGGGGCCTGGGATCTGAGTCTGTCAAACGGAGTTGTGGCCAGATGAGCCCGCGCAAGTAGCCATTCACCCCCAGAGATACCTTGCTCAGATCTTCTCGACGAGAATCCCTCCTTGAACGAAGCATGAAACCCGCCCTTCTTGAGCTCATGTGTCCAATGAGCCTTCGTAGCTGCCGACTGGTGCGTCTCCACGAACCCCATCACTGGGTAGGCCCCTGCAGGGTGCCGAACAAACTGGCGCGCCTGTGGCCCCCACTCCGTGATGTTGGCAAACAAGAACGCGGCATGCAAGTCCGATGGCTGGCGTAGAGCTTGGGGCCCCACGGATGCACCTTGCCCAGCACACGCGGTCGACGGCACCGCCTGATTAGCAGCCAGGTTACATGCATCACCAGGGCCCCCAGGGAGCCGACCACCGGCAATTCCCTGGGCCGCGCGAAGCTGCCCTGACTCTGCACCGACGCCTGGCTGCGGGACGGCTGACCCCCAAGCGTCCTGACATCGAGCTGCTGGTGCCTCCTGCACTGCGGGCCCTTCCCATTGCCCAGCCGCTGGAGATCTATCGAGAGGCACTGACCACCCATCTGCCAGCTGTTTGAAGGGATCCAAGTCAGGGTCATCCATCCCATGGTTGCATCGCGAAGTTGATGACGTCGTTCCCGTGCCGACTCCTCTCTCTGGGCTCTGCTGGCCTACCAACGGCGGCATGCCCCCTCCCGCTGTGCCCTGCACAGCGTTCTCAGGAGTCTGCCTTCCAGTGAGCACGTCGGAGGTCGTCAGAGTCGCATGGGCCGTAGGCTGCTGAGAGATCTGCGCCTCGCCCCTCCCCTCTCCAGCAGTCAGCTGGGCTCCCCGAGCAGGCGCTGCAGGGGTAGGGCGTGGGGCATCAGCTGGCGAGTCCTAGCCCCCCCCTCGCCAGTTGGCAGATTCTGGCGGCTCGCGAATCGTTCGAGCCGAGGGTATGGAGCACTCGCCCTGGCCCATGAAATCGGAGCACTGCCCCCCCCCCTCGCCAGTGGCGGGCTGGCCGCCACAGGTGAACATCCTGGGCTGAGGGTGTGGGGCCTCCGAAGGGGTCCCTGGAGTTGCGCCCCTCCCCTCGCCAGTGTGGATCACTTGGCGGCTCTGCTCCGTCGCAGG